ACTCTCCCTCCTAAGTTCTTGTACTTTACTAGAGTTAATTAAATTGAAATAACAAAACTCTACAGTCAACGGTTCAGTAGCATTGAATTTCTGTTAGGATATTCACTTTTTATGGATGTTGTGTTTGAATTTTATAAAATTTATTTTTTATTTTTTTATATATTTGTAAATAATGTTAAAATTATTTAAAATAAAATAAAATACCTCTTGAACTTCACTAAGTGATTCGATAGTTACGTACTTCATTGAAGCAGGTGAATTGTTCATCCGATTTAAAAATCAAATCATTAATTTTTAATATCTAACAATATTAATCTATTAATTATTAATTTTATTAATAAATAAATAAAATACTTCTTTAACTTTGTTTTATCTGTCAGAGCACTGTCAAACTTTAATGACTAGCCTTGCAAAGTCCACTTTCCACAACTAGATTTCTGAAACCCACTTCATATGCCCGATGAATGGCCTCCGTAGACCACATTCCTCCACTCCATCTGCTGATAATGATTACTGTCCTTACTCCTTTGCATGTCATAGCAGCCACTACCTTACCCCTTTCATTCCAAATTACAGCACCCATTCCCCATAGCTATTTTGCCGTGCAAAAAGAGCTCCATCCACATTGAGCTTATAAAATGGAAAATCTGGAGGCTTCCATTTTATATTACGCTGCCCTTCAACTCCATTACCAGACCTACTGGGGACAAACACTACCTCCCAGTACATATTCTATTAGAGTAGTAGTAGCGGAAGAATAAGAAAAAAATCTCATGAAACTTGAACATGCAATTTATATAAAGTGATCTTCACTAATCAGTAACCTTAAGCACTTGAGCGCTTGAGCGTGGGCATCTTATTGCACTCCTGTAGTGGCATGTCCGGTGCTGTCTTTTCCGTCGGTTGAGATTTAAGGTGTGTGGACCTTCATGGATCTCCATAGCACATGAGCAGCTCAACATTGGCCAATGAGGCCACAACACCTGACACAGGCCAGAGTTGCATCCGTACAAGCAATACTCATCAAGTCTAGTATTCAATGTTGGGGTAAGTTTATGGCCACACGTTACTCCATTGATGGAACATAAATTTTATTTGGTTTGTTTGATTTTTTAAATTTTATATTATTTAAATAATTAATTATAACATTTAAAAATATTAATTTTAAATTAATTTTAATTTATTAATTAATAAATATAAATTATTTTATTAATGATTTTTAATAATTAAATAAAATAAAATTATATGATTTTAAAATTATAATATGAGGTCATAATCAAAAACTACTCACAAGTGTGATTATTATCATATAACATAAGGGCCCTGCAATTTTATTTCATAAGTAATTAATGTGTTTAAAAATATTATATTATAAATTAATTTTAATGAATTAGTTAATATTAATTATTAAT